AAGCCGCTCCCACAAAGGAGGCCACACCCACAGAGTAGGTTCGAACAATTTTTGAAACCCACCACTGCAGAAGACCCTCACTGCCTGGTAGCGAAACACAAGCAAGAGTAGGTTGGCAGCTGAATTCGTGTTTTTTCCTGCTGTAGGTTTGTCCTTCTGCCAGCTTCAAAAACAGCAGATTCTGGTCAGCCGCTACATCAACAGCAGTGAAACTGCCTACATCCCACAGTGTCTGGATTCGGGTGACTTTGACCCCGTACAGTGTGACTTGGCTCTGGAAGAATGCTGGTGCGTGGACAGCGAAGGGATGGAGATTTACGGGACCAGACAGAAAGGGAAACCAAGGCAATGTAAGTCATTAGTCAAAACATAATTAGGCATTTAAACCAGAGGTAGTCATGCGAGATTCCGTTCCTTTCCTAACCAAGCTCATTCCCCATTGACCGATCCAGAAGGCAGGTTTCTTTCCTCAACAAAGTCTTCAGAGGCACATTTGAAAGGGATGATCATATTCAGAGGCAGTCTGTTTTCACAACATGCTGAAACCAAGGCCTTTAAATACCAAGATTGCATTTGCAGAACTTCCTCAACCTAATTAGTTTTAACCAGGCTTCCCTTTTCTGGCTTAGTGCAATCTTCAAGCCAAGTCATTTCAAGGAATTCTTACTTTGAAGTACTGCAAAATGCAGAAAATTGGTTAAGTGTTCTGCAAAAATAGTTGAAGAGCTGAAGAGCTAAATACAAAATACGGTTTTATTTCAAGTTCCAGTGTCTGTTTTTCCTTCCTTCCTTCCTTTCTTCCTTCCTTCCTTCCTTCCTTCCTTCCTTCCTTCCTTCCTCCTTTCTTTCTTTTTCCTTCCTTCCTCCCTCTCTCCCTCCCTCCTTCCTCCTTCCTTCTTGCTTCCCATCCTTCCTCCCTCCCTCCTCCCCTCCCTCCTTCCTTTCTTCCTTCTTGTTTCCCTTCCTTCTTTCCCTTCCTTCCTCCCTTCTTCCTTCCTCCCTCTCTCCCTTCTTCCTCCCTCCCTCCATTCCTTTCCTTTCTTTCCCTTCCATTTTCCTTTCCTTTCCCTCCCTCCCTCCCTCCCTTCCTCTTCCTTCCTTGTCATCATTATCTTTTTAACCTGTCAGTCATCCTTTCTCTTCTCAAAGTTAGAAAAGCAGTGAGAAATAGATGGGAATAAACCAACCTTCTTGATAAAGAGATGAGAATGAGCAATGGATACAGGATGGGGAGGAAATCTCTTCTGAAATCTCTTTGAAAAGTTTGACAACTGATATTTTGAGAAGAAAGAAGTCAGAATAAACAAAATATTTTTGCTTGTCAGGTCCTGGCCGGTGTGAGATCCGAGACCGCCGCATTCTGCATGGCGTTGGGGAAAAGACCCCTCCTCAGTGCTCAGCTGATGGAGAATTCCTGCCTGTCCAATGCAAGTTTGTCAACACAACCGATAGGATGGTCTTTGATCTCATCCATCATTTTAACAGGTAGGAAGGACTTTTGGCAATGCTTAGTGCCTAGTCCTGCCATTGAGGAAGATAGAAAGACATTCTAGACCTAGCAAAAGCACCATGAGCTGAGGTAATCTGGACTATCGGTGGTGATATGTTTGGAAGGAGACTTGAACATAGTTCCAAGTGAAATACCCTGATTCAAAGCTGATATTTTCTCATGTTTAATAGGAGGGAATAATGATCTAAGACCCATTGTCAGCATTCCAAGTAATGCAACCATGGAAAGCAGAACTTTGAGGCAGGTAGATTAATCAAAGAACAATTTATTGGATACATCATATTGGCACAACTGGTGAAAACCGACTGGGAATGTTTCCACTGTTTTCACCTAATTAAAAAAAATGAGAATCCCCCCCCCTTTCCACAAGTCATTAGTCACATTGTCCAATTGAGGTGCTGGCTGGTTGCCTGGTAACTTTGCACTTCCTCTCCCCAGCCAGCTGTTGGCATGCCCTTGGTTCCCACAGGAAAAAGTTTTGCTTTGATTATAAAACCCCAGCTATTTATTTTCCCCCTTCCCTATCTCTTCATCTTCCTTGTGGAAACCCTGAAGCCTCCAAGATAGCCTGAACCAGGCTCACTTCAGGGTTAACACCCATATTATTATCACTTCCATTTCCCATCCCTCAAAAATAAGTTGAAGACAATCTGTGAATAGAACAAAGAGTGTCCTGTTACAGCTTAATTCCTGAAGCATGAAAAGCTGTTTCTTGAAAGGATCATTCTCTGGTCTGTTCATGACAATATAAACAATAATATGCTAATCATATATCAAAGGAGTGGCCATAATGTCCCTTGCTACATCATGGAAAATCTCAAATCTATATTGAATTTTCTTTCTTTTTTAATGCCTAAACATTTTGAATACAGTGTATTGTCAGGGCATATCAGTTACAAAAGAATAACAAAGAGAGAACAAAATGTAATATTAACACATATACTGGTAACAATAGTAATAATATATCAGAATAGGTTTAGCTCAATTTCTCTTTATATTAGCTTATTCATAATTCTGTTAATTATATTGGGATATTTATAATTATAAACCATCTTTATATTTAATTCATGCTTAGCAATAATCTTTCATCATCTAATTTCTACCTCTTATCTCTAACCACTCATAAAATCTATTCCATGTCAAGTAATATTCTGTGTCTTCTTTGCCTTTTATTTTTAAAGTCAATCTATCCATCTCTGCACAGTCTAATATTTCCTGAATTACATCCTCATCTGATGGAGTGTTCTCATTTTTCCAATACTGTGCAAATACAATCCTTGCTGCTGTCAGTACATGCAAAACTAAATATATAGTCCCTTTATCATAACCCACCATCATTACACCCAGCAAAAATCTATATTGGATTTTCTAATGGCTGGATTTCTTTTTCAGGTTCCCCAAAGCGTTCTTAACATTTAGTTCCTTCAGAAATTTGTTCCCTGAAATCAACGGATACTGTCACTGTACAGACAGCCTTGGGAGAGAACTAGAAGATACAGGTGAGTCTACCTGCAAGAGCCTTCTAAAAGTGAAAACTTAGTAGGTGAACACCTTTTGCCTAGCAAAAGGTACCGTATTTTTGGAGTATAAGACGCACCAAGATTTTGAAGAGGGAAATTTTTAAAAAAAGTTTTTGCACTCTGCAAGTCTCCCAAACGCTCTGCAAGCCTCATTTTTTTGTGTGAAAAACGGGGCATGCAGAGAGTTTGAGAAGCCTGCAAAGTGCGCGTGGGGGGGGGGGGGGGGGGGGGGG